CATAGATCCTGCCATGAGCCGATGAATATGCCCAGATATTCCAAGATGTGTGTTAAGGAACTGAAAGTACATCAGAAACAGCAAGCATGAAAAAAATCTTAACACAGTGTACAACTGGCATAAGTACAAAACTTTGTATTGTTAACATTAAACTTAGGGAAGCTACACTAAAATTGCTACAAGGTACTGCAATAAAAATAAAGTTAAGCTACTGACAAAAAGTAGTAAACTGAGGAAGCTGAAGCGGTTTAAGGTGACCATATATACAGTAGCAATTTCAAATATATAACCATCAGATAAAGTAACTGATTTTACTCATTACTCATTTGTAATGAGTAGTTTTTTTTTGTTTTTTAATCAAGAACAAACTCATTTGTAGAGATACATTTACAATGAATACAACTACTAAAACAGTGGAAAATAAACTACCTCAACTTCTCAAATAAATTTGTGAATTCTTTTTTTGAACTGGATCACTCAAATAAATCAGGAATTAACCAAATCTTTCAAATGAATCAGATTAGTGCTTTACTTGAGAGGACAGTTTAGGAGATTGTGTTTGATTATTGCCTATTTTTACGGCCGCAGAAGTAGTACTGGAAAAGCTATGATATTCTGAACAACTGTCACGCTGCTAAAAATAGAATTATGTTAGGAATGTCACTATGTTTAGTTTGTTATTCCCCAAGACTGGCATTAGTACATAATGACTATGAAACAAAGGTAACCTTTTTGTAGTTATCAAAAGCCATAAACTGAATGGCTCCATATGGGAAAATCCTGATCATCATGGCTCCATTTCCCTTGTATAGTCCAAGGAAACCCTCTTTTTTTGGCACTGCCTTAAGTGTGGCAAACACTCCTGAAAAAACACACAAGATAACATCATGTTCAACCGTTTGGTGCATAGTTCTTTTTCAAATCAAGTTGCACAAAAATATCTGTTTATCCGAAACATTTTGGATTTAACTTAACAAGGTGTTTGTAATGAGGATTTTGAGCTTGTAGTAAAATTTTCACTCGATCAAGAGGCGCTATGGTGGACTTGGCACAGCATCCAGCAACACCTATATATACAAATAAAATAAAAACGAATTCATATTTGATCAGTAAATAATTCATTTTAAAATAAAAACAATCATAATAACTATTAGAAAACATGACATATTTTGTGTCTCTCTGCATGTCATGTGACCATTAAAAATCAGTTCCTCCAAAAATGAAGACTTGCTGAACATTTACTCACCCTCGGTCCATCCAAGATGAACATATTTGGAGAAATTCAGTATTATCATTTGCTCACCAGTGGATCCTCTGCAGTGAATGGG